CTGAACTTGATGGCTGCCAAGAATCCATTATTGGCCACAAACAATGTCTGTGTAGATTGACAATATCCAATTGGTCCAGGTTGAAGAGCTCTGAGTGGGACGAGAGAGAATACGCATTGGTCGCCTTGAAACAGGGAAAGTTTACAGTCGATTGATTGAACCAGAATTTGAGAAGGCGAATCTTCGATCGGAATGACGCACATGTTCCAAGCAGAAGTTGTGAAGGAGTGGGAGAAAATTTCATCAAGGGATGCATGAGTGTCTTCGGAACTAGCTAAAATTTTCAGGGTTATTTTTCTATTAGAAACCCTAAACACTCTAATAGAACTCTACTAGAAGGCCACACTATATTTGCAGTGCTCAATTATCTCTGTTCGTATTCGAGCTAAAAAAAATTGTCAACTGATAAAGGATTTGCGATATTCTGAAAANCGCTCACGTTTTATTGAATAGACAGTAGTTCGGCAGAAAAAATAGGAAAACCCGAAAAAAATCGTATCCACTTGTACGTTCATTATCATATCTCGGTTCAAAAAGTACAACTTTTGACGATTTTTGGTGACCGCGTAGCCAGAGAGATTTGCTATCGATCAAAAAAAGATTTAACCAAAACGGACTGAAATGAACCTAGTTAGGAACTTTCAAAGAAAATTTCTACAAAAGGTCAAAAGTGGGGGTGCGCGATCGCTACGGTATTTAAGGGAAGAAGGGAGCGAATTTGGAAATTTGGAAATCTGTAAAATTAGAAATTCCGAGTCTTAAGAATTCCTAATTCGGAAACTCAGATTTTCGATAAATTAGAAATCTAACATTTCGGATATTTAGACATTCAGATTTTCGAGAATTTTAGAAATTAAGACCTTTCGAAGTTTAGAGATTGGTAAATTCAAAAAAATTGGAAGTTCGAGAAGTCTTTAAACTCAGAAAAGTGTTTCAAATCCCGGTCTCCAATTTTTTCTGAATTTCTGAATTGTTTGAATTCTTAAGTTTTCGAGTCGTCAAACTTTTGAATTTGCGAAATTCCAACGGTCTGAACTTTTGGAATTCAGAAATTCGGATTTTCAGAATTCGGAAAACTCAAAATGTTTTAAAACATTCGGAAGTTGAGAAATTGAGAATGACCAAACAATGAGATTCAAATTTGAAATTTCAGCAAAAGAAAACTCTGAAATTCAAAAAACTAACTTCAGTTCATATCTGAGTTTCTGAACTTCTGGATTTCTGGATACCTGACTGTCCTAAATTTTTTAGTATTGTGAAATTCGACAGAAGAATTTATAGATACGGAAATTAGAAGATTCGAAAAACCGGAATTTCAGAATTCCAGCAATTTGAAAATTGAGAAATTGAGAAAATCGAAGTTTAGAGAATCACTAAAACTACTGATATTTTAGAAAATTCTAGGGATTACTTCCAAAATTGAAAAATATATTTTTTTGCCCAACAATCTACATTTCCATCTCTTCCAGAATCCACTGCATCCCTCCAAATACAATTTTACGTTGGATCTAAAAAGTCTCCAACCAGCAACAAAGTCACAATTGCAGCACACTGTGTGTTCTCACAAAGTAAGTTTTTTAAAGTTTTGTTAATCGTTATAGTTTCAAATTCCAGTAAGTGTCACAAAAACGATCGAGCTACCATTCAAAACGCTTTTCGAAGAAACACAAGTAGACAGAAACGCCAAATATAAAGTGACAATTGATACAGCTGGAGGAGTTATTGCGTTGAATAAGCTGTTTCCAGGTTGAGAGCACACTGAAAAGTTTGCATATAAATAAAAAATTTCAGAATTCGAATCTGAAAACCCACAAGCAATCGGTTTCTCCCTTCATGGTTCCGATAAGACTATCTCAATTTTTGCTGCTAATAAATCAAGTGCGTTTTTATTTTTCATCAAGTTCAAGGGCCAAGACAAAGGTCCCACAGCGACAATTACCGTAACCTAAAAATATTTTTATTTTCCAGATTTATTTTCTATTTTTCACTGCTTTTTCAGTTATTTACCCCAAGAAAGTGAGAAATTCGAAGTTTTTCATAGTGATAAAATTAACGGAAACTGCACGAAAATCGAGAAAATAAACCCCGATAAACTCCCTTTTTTGCAAAAGTTTTAGACCTTTTTAGGTTTTTCATCTATTTTTGAAGATTCTTTTTGGATTTTTTTAAATTTTTTGCCTGAAATTTGACGGGATAGTGTTCTTGACCGAAAGATTACTGTAGATTACTGTAGAAAATCTTGTATTTTGTAGTTTTTTTGCAAACAAAAAAAATCACACAAAAAAAACGAATTGCAGGGAAAACAAATACGGAAAATCAAAATATTTTTAGGTTACAGTAGTTGTCGTTGTGGGACCCATAGCTTCGATGATTTTGTACCAGAATAATCTTTACAGACCGCTACCGTATCCAATCCGAGCATGTCTCTCTTCTCCAAATCGCTGCGAAAGAGCTAGTCTCACGGATTCAGAATGAAGTCAAAGGAATGGAGATAGGAGGAGTTATACCGTTTGAGTATATGAGAGAGACGTTAGATGATATTCAGGAGGTTAGAATTTTTAAATAACGGTAGAACCTGTATCAAAAGGGCCTATTAATGAAAGGGCAATCCGAGAGGGAATTGAATAAATAGATGATTTAAGAAAAGAATTCACTGAATTTTTTGATTAAAATTTTTTGAAAAACACGGCCGGAAAAAAGGATCCTCTCTAATTGAAGGGTCCCTGTAATAGAAGGGCTCTTCGGAGGTACCTGGGAACAATAAAAGGTCTAACATAATACAGGTGTTGTCCTTTTAATACAGGTTTTACGGTATGAAACTAAAAGTAAAATTTCCAGCTCGAGGCAAAACGAAAAGAAGATTCAAAAGTGATTGATTGTCGTATGAAGGAGGTTCGAGCTATCGAATCATTATCCTTGAATTCTTGTAAAACTGGAAATATGGGCAATCTTCAAGCTATGGATGCGCTCTTTGATAAATCTTATAGAGAGGTATGAGAACTACCGTAAACACTCTAATATATCCTATACTCGAACTTTAAGCATACATACACTCTAATAGTTCGCCACCCAAGCCGCCAACTTTGAGCTCATATATCTCATTTTCTGTAAGAGATATCAAAAAGTAATCAACTGACAAAATATTTACCATAATATGACAAATAATATAATAATAATAATAATAATATAATTATTTGCAATGCATGGGGGGGGGGGGGGGGATCGATAGATAATTTGGCAAGAAATGGGACCTGTACAAATAAAAAAGTAAAATGACCAGACGGACCGACTAGAGTCCTGTAGGTCAAGTGGGAGGGAGCAGAATATCATAAGGAATCGCTCCTACTCGCTTAGCAAACGCCACCGGACTGAGTTTAGAATTTATCACCTTACATACACGGTTCCACATAGACAAGTTTATGTGAAGAAATACTCTGCCAGTTGATCACCTTTTGATATCTCTTACAGAAAATGAGATATATGAACTCAAAGTTGACAGTTTGTCTGGCGTTCTAGTGTTTACGGTATATCGGTTCTTGTGACAGATATCAAAAAGTACTTAACTGACAAAATTTTTATTATTATATCAAAATCATTTTGCCAGTTGACCACTTTTTGATATCTGCTACAGGAAACGAGATATAAAGGTTCAAAGTGAAAGTATATGATGCGCCTTCTGTTTATCGTATTTTTGCAAGTTCAAAACGTATATTTTAGCTACTGGATGCCATGGACAGCTACAATATTTTAACGACGAAAATTGAGAATGAGAAAGCGACACTTAGTAAGTTCAAAAGTTTTTTTGAAGGATTACGGTAGCAATTTCCAGATTCTCTCTTCCAACTTGCTGCTGATCTCTCAAGGCTTTCGAGAGTGGAAACTATTCTCAGTGGTTCATTTTGGACGAATACCCAACAGGTTTTTGAAGTTTTTAAACAAAATGTTCTTCAAATTTTAATTTCAGTCTCTCCGCGATCGCCTTCAATGGGCCGTCCGAACTGACCGTGGGAAAGAGATGGCGATGATTGAGAAACTCTGTGAGCACTCCGCAAAGGAGTTGCCGAAAATCAAGGAAGAGGAAGAGGAAGGGAATGTCGAGTGACTTAAATAAAAATTATGAATATTCATGAGACAACAATAAAGTTTAACAACAAAAACAAAACAGCAAAGATAACAAAAAAGAGATCATCATTAATCCATAAGATCAAAATCGTCTCTAGTGTTGTTATAATCCATAACGTGTCGTTTGATTTTCGATGCATTCGTCCATGTAATCATATCCTCAGATACCCTTGTTACCATAAACGCAGGATCAGTGACAAGTTTCGTTCCAATTCGAACATGTCCGTGCTCAACAAGATCCGATGCCGTTTTTACAGATTCCACCATTCCGGTATTACGCATCACAACTGGGAGACGACGGCGTGCAAACGAGGCACCACTTACCTGAAAAAATTCTGAATTTTAAACTTCACAAAAGTCTATATTAACCTTTCCGATTCTTTCTAGTGTATCTCCAGTGGGAATAAGACCGGCAGCAAAGAACTTTGTTAACATATCCTCTGTGCATTTAGCTCTGAATGGATCCGATTCGGGGAGGTTTTTGATGAGCTCTGCCACTTCACGACTCTTGGCAGCTAGTGTATTGTAAAGGGCATAGTGTTCTCGCTTGGTGACGTGGAATCTGAAACAACAGCGTTATCAGCAAGGACTAAATATAATAAATTAACATACTTTCTGAGCATATCTCCTTGTCTCCCTTGCTGATCCACTTGCCACGACATGAAGTCGGTTTTCTTGAGGAGCTTCTGCTCATGGGTTTTCAGTTTTCGCACCATTCTGACTTCTGAAATGTGTAACTGCGATTTTGATTCCAAATTGCGAGCTAATAAAAAGTACAAAAACAGGCTACAAACCCGATAGAAGAAAAGATTTCAAAAAATTGGATAATATTTACAGAAGTCGTATTTCATTGATTAGGAGTAGGACTAAAGAAGTAGCCAACATAATAATAATAATAATAGAGACTTATAAAGATAAGATCCGAGGAAAAAATGATGGCGTTTTTATGTACAAAAACGATAGAGAAGAGGAGGCTACGATAAAAGAGATGTTAACCCTGACTCGCTACAAATTGTTGTATTACTTTCGATAGGTAAAGTACGCCGAGTATATTATAAGGCATGAAACGAGAAGCTGAAAATTCATGAATATTAAAGACGCGAAAGAGAGATAACCGGTGTACCATAAATCTGAGTAAATAAGAGGGTGCTCTCTGAAACGAAGAAAATATTCAAGTTTTTGCAGCAGTCGTTTTCAGTTTTGAAGACCGGTTTTTAAGGCAAAGTTTTCAGTTTCACTAGAGAGAATAAGAGGTACAAAAAGCTAGAAAAAATGAGAGTAGAAAACGATTATGAAGCGGTGGTGGTGAAGATAGAAAGCGGTGAGAATTACAAAAATGAAATAGTAGGAGAAGAGTTCTTCTTAATGACGTCGTTGACGCTTCAATTGAGAGTTGGGCGACAATGTTCGAGTAGGCGTTCTTTGACGCTTCCTATGACGTTGCACCTTAAATGTTCGAGAATTTTATGAAAATGCAAGTGTAGGTACTTACCTGGTTGGCCAAAAATTGATCTAGTGAATCCGGTCGTGGTGGAGGAGGGGGTGGTGGAGGCAAAGCAGCAGACAGCGGAAGTGGGGAGCTCAAAGTGCTCAATGGAGTTGTCTTATGGATAAGAGCCTGAAAACCATATAAGTAGGAATAAGAGATTTGAGACGTATTTTTCAAGTCTTGCAGCTTTGGAAAAAATATTTAATCACCTTTTGAAACAGCTCCACAGCAGCTAAAGTCTCTGGAGAGAACCTATTATGCGTATCAACAGTTAACATTTCATCGTTAGGAATCGCCATGTTCCTATATAAGACTTCAAGAACTATATTCATATCAACTTGAGCAGGATCTCGAAATGCTTGGAATATTTCCTTAGCCACACTAGTACATCCTGATGAGTAACCCTTTTCAAACCCTCGGCGATATATGTCAGTTGAAGTCTGAAAATATTGATTTTTTGTAACAAACTTTGTGAAATAAAGAAATGATAAAAACCTTATATAACTGCGTCGTTCCTTCTGCAGCGCCTCGAAAATTCTTCCAGGAAGAGTCCCCGTAAAGGCGAGCAACTGCTTGAGCACAGCCTTCAAAATCGTTCCACAATTTTTCGGTTTCCGATAAATCTTCCGTGCAATCACACTCTCGATTGGCGCCGCCCGTTCGAGACGAACATCCATCTTGGTGATTCGACATGTCGAGAACTGAAAAAAAAAAGAATTTTGAGAAACAAAAAGAAGGCGTTGTCGTCGTTTTCGTAAGAAATGAAGAGGAATGGGAAAACACAGCGGCGCTCTCTCAGCGAAATTGTGACCAATAAATAACCCATTATCGCCATAAAAATGAACGATTTTTGTTGGCGAATATCAGCGATTACAATGCTATATGTGGGAAATGTGAGCTAGACAAAGAATTGATGAGCCGATTGCAAAGTTATCGATCTTTAGAAAGAACATAAAACTGCTTAGAGACGCATCAGATGACGAAAGAAAATTACAGAAGAGAGGAAAAGATTGGAAGAAGATTGAGTGCGTTGGAAAAAGAGAAGAGGGAGGGAGAGACAAACTAATCTTCAAGATGAAATTGAAAGATAGAGGTCATCAGGGTTAACTTTTATATTATGTGGGAAAGAGTGTTCTTTTATTTCTCAACACTGATGTTCTCAAAAGCCAGGAAAAGTAAATAGCGATATTAAATACTATAAAGGTAGCAAAGTGACAAGGTAACGGGAATTTTGGCAACAGAACAGTACAAACTGACTTCTTGGAAAATAAGTTCTTCCTCGTTTCCGAAAAACTATCTGAGCAAAGTTAGAGGAGCCGCGAGCTAGCAAAAAGAGCTCATAGTTTCTCTGGGTCTATTCCCTTAGCTAAGGGGCTAGTATTGATTCGTTCGATGCGCCAGTAATAAATCTCAACGAAACGATTCGTAGTTAACGAAACGCGACACTTCGAACTTTGCAAAAATCGATGAAAACCTATAAAAAAAATTCTGAAACGGGCAGTATCGGGAAAAAAAGATAGAGGAAACGATTGAGAGAAAGAGACAGCGGTCTGTGTGAAGAGAAAATAGTTCCCCTCAACGTCCCGGTAGAGCGCATATTCACTGCGCCATGTCAACAGTGTGACCTCATGTTGCCAATTTTTTGAATGCTTTTTGATCATTGTTATAAACTAATTCTAGAGCTAAGATTTACATTTTTAAAAACTAAAGACTTGTTTTGAAAGCGAGAAGAATTCGAAAAGCGAGCGAAGCAAAAATTTATTCTAACGTTTACTGTATTAAAGGCGCACAGCAATTAATTATTGTTTTTACTTCACCACGATCTAAAAAAATCAAATTTGAATTTTTTGAAAAATGAGAATTTATGTCAAACATGTTTAACATGAATTCTAATATTTTAATTGGTCATTAGTCGATATTTATCTAATTTGCAGTTTTGATATCACGTGAATGTTATCAATTTATTGTGTCAAGTTCTAGTTTGAAGTTGGAGATAGCAACGTTTTTGAACGTAAATTTGAGCTGGCTGAAATTTTTAGAGGACGTGGCTAAAGGTGTCGACTGGCTTAATAATTTGTTAACTGAAAAATCTAAAAATTGATATTGAAGATGTCTCGCAAAAACAATCGATACACCTCTAAGAACCCACCTGACAAGAACCGGTCAATAATTATCTTGCTCTATAGTTTTTCTTCCCCAAAATCTCAATTTCCCTTCTTTTTCAAATCTGTCAGTTTTCAGCCTATGCAATCGTTCGTGCCGCCCAAACATGTTAACATCGAAAAACAATGATATTGGAAACTTGATAGAAATTGTGGGTTCGAATGTCCCCATTCATAAAATTAACTATTTTTTTTCAGTTTCGTCAACGAGACATCACTTATAAGGAGCGAAAAGCAACCCTTCAAAAAATCGAGGAGCTTATTCCAAAAGTTCCCGATTTAGAAGCACTCAACACAAAATGGATATATCTTTTGGATAATGCCGTTTGGCCGTTGATTGTAAAATCTGATCGAATGGATTTGAAGAGTCTAGCTGGAAAAGTCACCAGACATGTCGGAGCTCTTCTCTTTGATTCACCTTTTTATCCAGAGTAAGAACATCTAATCTTATTCCAACAAGTCTTATTTTTTACAGATTCCTCCTTTGGCTAGGAACTCTTCTCCAAAACACACCGAAGAAAAATGACGACGCACGAGCAGATATCGTATTCTCCGTCTACTATATAGTTGGAGCTATCAGCCAAAAATCCGAGAATCGCTTGGGAAAAAACGATGAGGAATATGTTCGAAAATCGTTGGAATGGCTGATTCGAGTGATTCCAAACTCGTCGAGTGCAGTTTACAATAACTGTTTGAAAGGGATTATTCTCATCTCAAACACCTTTCGAAAAGTTACAGATGATTTGTATGAGGTAAAAAAAAAAAGGTATTTAGAAGTTTTTTATAAAAAAGTTTCAGTCATGCCTACGAGCCATCGTATCGAATTTCCCTGATTTCAATAGCCATGAAAAGAATTTTGAGCGACTTCTGGACACCGTCAACTTGTTTTCCGATCACTTCTCAAAAGATCCAGTGCTCGCAGAGGAGATGGTACGAATCATCCGACCCGATATTAAAAAGAATGGACTACGAAATACAAGAGAGTTGAAGAAACGGCTAAAATTGACTATGGCTATTGTGAAAATGGCCAAGAGTCAGCAGATTCTAGTTGAAACCAATGAGATGGTAATTTTCTTATTCCTAACAAAACTTTTGAAAAATGATAATAATCCAGATGTGTGAGTTACAAGCAGAGCTGGAAGGAAACGGTGGGAAATGGTCGTCTGCTGCTCTTATCACCATCATATGTGACCTTCTTAACGAACTTCTGATCCTTGGAAAAAATGATGCGGAAATGCGACAAAGTGTTGAAGAATCGTTAGGAAATCTTCTAAAAGATTTGAATCTGTCAAAGCAAAACACGAAAGAGAAACAGGCATTTTTCAACTCATTAGCGAAGGTTTGTTCAAATTATTAATTGAATGAGATTTGAGCCCCGTGTCAGTTTGTTCAGATTGTCAAACAACTTCCCGCGGAGTCAGATGTCAAAACTCGAATCCATCATATTGTTTTCAATTCGGATACTGGTCTATTCAATATCCAGAATGATGATAATCGAATTTTTGGGTGCGATTTAAGCTATAATTTTCGAATGTATGGTTTTTTCTTTCAGACATAATACGATCTATCGAGACTTGGTCAATTTGATTTCCGTCCTTTTGACACCAACTTCTCTCAGTCATCTTCAAGCGACATACACTGATTTGAGAAAGATAATGATGGAAAGCATGTCGAAACTGAAACAAAGTGAAGGAAGCAGTGTTAGTGTCAGATGGCATGAATCCATACTTCTCCTGTTCTTCTCTGCGTTACAGGGAATATCATGTGCAAAAAGCTCGCTTATTGTTGTAAGTGATATACCGTAAAACCTGTAATAGAAGGTCTCCTGCTAAAGCTATGAAAGAATTGTCAATCGAAAAATTGTTTATCATAATATCAGAAATGTTTTGTCAGTTGACACATTTTCGATATCTTTCACAGGAAAGATAATTTAGCTCAAAGTTAACGGTTCGGGACCCTTATACTACAGGTTTGCAGTATCAAAAACGAAGAAATTTTTTATCAAAATTTAAAATCAGATGATTGGAATCCGTCCGTCGATTTTCGAATTGTTTTGTGATGAACTACCGCTGACAGAATATTGGCTCGCTTCTAACCATCCGGAAGTCTATCATATCTTCATAACCATTCTGGTTGGACATCTCAAAGCGTGAGTTTTGTTTTTATAGCTTACAGACAACAGCAGGATTTCAGACACGACTTCTATGTTTCCCAATCTGACTATTTGGTTCATGGAGAGACACCAACCGGACACGCCTACGGGCAGACGAAACGAGAATATGTCAGAAAGCAAGTCATTGCTCTCCATAAAATTATCGGTGGTTTTGGGAATCGGTTGTGGAAAAAGACCAGGTAAAATCGAAATTTCGAACTTCTGAAATCTCTTGATTTCTCAATTTAGGTTCCTCATCTCCACTTGGCTTCATTCCCTTGTCGTTATAGCACGCGATCAAAAGATAAGTGCCGAGAGTTTCAGACTAAAAGAATGGGTTCGGTTGAGAAATACAGTAATCCAGCATTCAGTACTCGATTGGAACAATGAAAGGTTTGTATTGATCTCTACTCCTGGAAGAACTGGTATCCCCACCTATTCCCTTTATTATATGACACTTGTAAAAGTGAAATTGAGATGGACAGAAAACCAGTTCGTCCAGATGACTGAACACTGAATTTCAGCATCAACCAAGCCTTGACCGTCCTTTCAACAGTTACCAATTGGTCAGCATTGCCTCTAGAGTTGAACAAAGATATCACTGATAAAACAAAAAAAGCCACATGGAAGGAAGCGACGACGATTTGGGAATCTGGAGATTTTAAAACCTATATCAGGTGAGTCAAGAACCGAACAGAAAGACTGGAACGAATGAAGAAGCAATTTATCTCTCAGCTGTTTCAATTTTCAAATAAGCGCACACTCTCAGAAGTGTTTATGTATTTATGAGGGGAGAAGACAAAAAAGAACTGGACGGATAATCGGTGGCTGCGTAGTCGCCGCGGACATGTACACCTTTTTTGAACTTTTCTCTCTCTGTTTTGTACCAAAAATGTGGTCCGAAACAGTTTTTTTTTGCAAAACGAGCTTTCAAGGCTTGTTTGTTTACTTGACTAAAACTAGACTCCCTTTTAGTGTCTACCCTCTCCCTTTGAAAAAACGCCTTTTTGTTTTTCTCATCTATTTGCACCTGCGCCTGAAACGAGAGTTTCCGTATGAGATACTTTAGGGATTAGAAAAACAAGACATGTTTAGTTGAAGCCAATGATTTCCAGACAAAGCCTATCGACCACCTACCAAATGAGTCAGGAACGGCAACAGAAACAGATTGGTTCCACGAGTTTTGGAGCGGAGGAGTTCAATTTGGTTACGAATTTCCTGCTCAAACAGATTGTTCCAACTACATTCAAGTTTGTTTCAGACACTTTATTCTTTGTTTTCTAACCAATTTTTTGCAGAAAAGGCCCATATGTGTGGATGGATGAAGTACTTGAAACGGCGATTCAAGGATGTAAGAACATCTCTCAAGAGAAGTCAGACGTGCCAGAAACGTTTATGGAGAAATGGGATTGGATTATTAATCAAACTGCAAATTTCTGTATCGTCAATAAAATGAAAACTCCATTGGGGAAACCAATGCAGACGTTTGCAGCTTTTGAGAGTGAGTTTTAAATTATATTAAAAAATATATATTTCGAATTCAGATGAAATCAAACGACTCGCCAAAGAGGTTATCAATCGTAAGAGTAGTGATAAGAAGCCGAAATCCACAACAGAAGACGTTCCACCACCGGCAACTCCTCCATTGAAATTTTCCATTCAGTGGCTTCGTGTTCATCTTCTTTTGAAACTAATTGAAGTTTTGGAGAAGATCATGATTTCTTCAATCCGCGGTGGTTCTTCCATTTTCAACTTGACAGAGATTCCAGTTACTGCCCGACAATTCTTCATAATGAACTCTTCGAGTTGCGAAGTTTGGCTCAATCGAGTCTACTATCCAGCACTCATTGTTGCTTACTTCAACGGATACTATGGCTTGGTCATTCGATTTGGGTCCAATGCTCTCAATCACTATGCTCGTCAAAAGGGTTCCGATGAGAAAATGATTACGAATGGTGTCTGCACTGCTTGTCTCATGTCTCTCTCGATGGCTGTTCTAGGGGAACCAATGGAAATTGTTGGATTGAGACGAAGAGTTCGAGAAGAGTTTGGAACGGAAATGGGTCAGAAGTTAATGGAAGCGCTAGGAGAAATGGCCAGTGCAAGGTTTGTTTTAGTAATAATGGAAGTGAAAATTACTGAAAATTTATAGATACGAAATCGCATTGGTGCAACTCGAAGCTATTCTTGTTGTTGATAGCAGTATCAACGAAACTCTTCGTATCATTATCCAAATTGCGATAACTGACATGCTGAATCGAATCCGCCTTCCAGACGCTGTCAGATATTACAAGAAAACTCTATTTGGAGAAGACGAAGAAGCACAAGTAGCGGAAGATTTCAGATCGTGAGACATTGTTTATCGGATCTTTTATTATAACTGTCAATTTGTTTCAGAATTGAAATGCTCACAAAATTCGAAAAGCTGAACTACGGTGTTGCCGAAAAGAGACAAGTTGTTGATTGGAGTGCTCGTGAACGTCTTCAACTTGTTGAATCCGCATATTCACAGACTATGAAGAGGTAAACTTTGAATTCCATAAACACTTTGACTCATTGTTCCCAAGTTCTTTCAGAAACGAACTCCTCGAACTGCAAAAAGAGATGTCAGCGATGGGAGCACTTGCATTGAGTGCTGATTCATCGTGCAAACTGTATTCGGATATATCTTCCACATCTCTTGTCATAGCGAATCTAGTCGATCGAATGACTGGAACATCGCATTGGAAAAATCAGTTGACCGATGTGGAAATGTTTGATAGAGCCGAAGAAGGAAACGAGGGAGATAAGCTGACGATCTGTAGAAAACTGATGCATTGGGGACGACACATGAAACATCATCGTGGTCAATCGTTCGCAGCTCATGGAGAAATCATTCGTTTCTCTCGAAAGACTTCCAACTGTGAACTTGCTTTCTTCCATATAAATTCAGCGATTCGAGGGGAGAAACTGGAAGCTTGGCAACGTTTGGAAGTTGAGAGACAACGATTGAAACTTGTAAAATCTCAACATTTTGATGTTCGAGTTCGAGAAATGAATGAAGTTTTTGGATCGTTGGCTGACGTTTTCAGCACAAGTATTGAGATGAAACAGAAATTCCAGAATCTTGACGACCAAACGAAAGATTGTAAGTGATTCTTTAGAATCTCATTGATCAGAAAATTGCAGTAATGGTAGCCAATGGATACCTGAGTGACATTGCAAAACGAGAGGAGCACATGAGTCGAGCAAGCATTCAACTCGCTGATTTCTTTGACACACTTCCAACTATCGATACCGTTCTCACTCCGAACTTATACAATACCATCATTTGGGTAAGCATCTTTGTATCGAATATTCCCTTTATTTCAAAATTTTCAGTCTGAAATTCAATCCCGCTCGAACAGTTTATCATGTGGCTATGCTGGTTTGGTTGGTGCTCTCTACAACTTGTCCGCCGATCTATGTCCTTCACTTGCGAAAGCTCATCTCAAAATGGCGAAGTGGACATACGAGATGGCGAAAATTGAGAACTTCCCTAATATAAGTCCATTCGCCCTCTACCAATTTGGACAGACGGCACAAGAAAACGAGGAGCTGTGGAGGAGTTTAGATGCGACGAGTCTTGTGAATCTGGAGAAACAAGTTAGAAAAATTGTTCCGGATGCCATGCGAGCCAGTGTTCTTCTCTCTCCGAACAATCCATATCTGCTTCTATGGGAAGCAGCCAGCGCTCACCGTCGGAAATTCCTTTGCATCACGGTCTCTTCGTATTTCCAGTTTATCCACAACATGTCCGGAGACTTTGAGTGTCTTCCCTACTCGGTAAGTTTCGAGTTTCTGAGTTATCTTATGTTTTTATTCTTTAGAAACGAGAAGAGACCACTCTGGCGACTCTGAGAATTCTGGAAATGCTTGTGAAGCACGGAGAAGTGTTGGTTGATGTTATAAACGATGGATTGAGCAGGACCAATGTTCATGTTTGGAAAGAAATCCTCCCGCAACTCTTCGCTCGCCTTTCTCACCCATCTGATCACATTCGTAAAACTCTGGTTGATCTGATATCTCGTGTCTGTACAGCTGCTCCACACGCAGTCGTTTTTCAAGTTGTCTCTGGAGCAGCTTCATCCACTGAAGTGTCTGATCTGGAAGAGCAACAGAATGATGATCGCAATCGAGTTCGTGCTTGCTGTGAACAACTGGAAACTAAAATGGCTCAGTCGTATCCGAATCTCGTCAGAGATGTCCGCCAATTTGTTGCTGAATTGGAGCGGATCAATTTGCTGAACGAGGAGAAGTGGTCGGTTGTACTAGGAACCATGGAGCATGAAATGGAAAAGAGATTAGCGTTGATAAAAGCTGAAAATGCCAAAACCGACTTTTCAATGCATTTGATGCCAAAACAGAAAGATGAAATCATTTCGAAGAAGACCAAGCTACTTACCAGACAGGTGAATATCTAATCTAGATTAGTTTTTAATTTTAAATTCAATATATAATTTTAGATCTTTGATGTTCTTGATGAACTCTACGAGAAAACGATTGTGGCACAACCTGAGACTGAGAATGAGAAGGAATTCTTTAACACATTCTCCGAAATGTTGACAAAAGCTCATACGGAATCGAAAAACAATCGATACAACTCTCCAGAAGCTTCTTGGGCGCCATTCAAGAATGTAATAGCTTGCGGATCTAATCGAACTAAACTATTCATATTCCTTTTCAGCTGGTTTCGAACTTCGCTCACAGAACCAACAAAAAAGGAATGCAAACGTTCCAAACGGCGGATATCTCCCAATATTTGGCTACTGTAAGTTTGGAGCTCAAACTTGAAATCCAAAAAATCGCAACCATTTTTTTTCAGCTCGGAAAATCATGTGTTCCAATGCCTGGTCAAGAATCTGTTGAATTTGATCGTGTCGTTTCGATTGCTCGTGTCGCTGATAACGTTACCATTCTCCCTACCAAAACAAGACCAAAGAAGCTAGGATTCATTGGATCCGATGGAAAACAGTAAGAACCAAAAATAGCTCTAATATCTTTAGTTCTGATAATTTCCGACTCGCATTCTTGTTCAAAGGACGCGAAGATCTTCATCTCGATGAGCGTGTCATGCAATTCCTCCGTTTGTGCAATGTGATGCTTCAGTCTGAGAAAGGAAAAAGCCGGCAGATTGCTGAATACCAAGCACACCATTACGCTGTAATTCCACTCGGACCTCGTTCAGGACTTATCAAATGGGTTGAGGGAGCTACACCGATCTTCCACATTTATAGAAAGTGGCAGATGAAAGAGGTTAGTCTTTATTAGTAGGAGTGACACTTTTTGACAATTTGTTACTTCCAGAAAGCTCTGAAACAAGCTACGAAGAAGAATGGAGAGACGGTTCCGGAAATAGAGAAACCAACGAACATGTACCACAATATGATACGGCAAGCATTCACTGCTCATGTAAGTTTCTCAGATAAAATTACATTCTAGTTGTTTTTATTTAGAATATCGACGCCATAATCGCTTCGGATCGTTCGAAATGGCCTGCCCAAATCCTTGAGGAAGTTTTCGATGGTCTATGTTCCAAAACACCAACAGATTTGATAAGTCGTGAGATATGGATGCGTGCTAATGATTCCACTGCGTGGTGGGCAGTCACTAAACGGTATGCAAGATCGCTGGCAGTGATGAGTATGGTTGGGTCGGTATTGGGATTGGGAGACAGACATTTGGATAATCTATTGGTGGATCTGAAGTACGGACATGTAGTTCACATTGACTACAATATTTGTTTCGACAAGGGAAAGATCCTGAGAATTCCGGAGACCGTACCATTCCGCTTGTCTCGAAACATGCGACACGCTCTTGGGCCATCTGACATGTACGGTACATTCCGCGAATCATGTGTTCATGTTCTATCGACTCTCCGTTCTGGTCATCAAGTTTTGACGATGCTTCTTGATGCATTCGTATTCGACCCACTAGTTGATTGGACCTCCCACGATAACATTTCAACGTCTGGAGGTGTCTCATTGGCTCTTCAATTGGCTGTTTATGGAAGTAGCTGGAAAGCAAAAGCGAGAGAAAGATTGACGGATACGATCGAATTGTTCCAGTTGAGAGTCACTGAATTGCAAGCACTTTGGATGAGTAATCGGTAGGTTTTTTGTTTTAACAATCCAGTACTATAGTAGCAACTATTTCAGAGAAGACCTATACCATTGGATGAAACAAGTGACTGATTGTCTTCTCGCTGAACAGAGTATCATGGGAATGAATGGAGCTTATGCTCAACAACGAGTGAAAGCAGGCACCGAGCTTCGAGAAGCAGTCGCAAGGCATCAGGCGCTAGCCAAAGAGTTCCGTCCTTTGATACGCGTGATAGGAAAGGAGAAAGAAGAGTTTGCCGATTATCTGAAGTTCTACAAGCAGGCATTTATTGATCCACTTTTGAAGTGAGTTTCAAAAAACCATAGTTTACTGTATACCGTTAAACCTCTAATATAAGGGCCCCCTAAATTTTAACTTTGAGCTCATTTATCTCGGCTCCTATATGAGATATATTAATTCTGGCAACTGGTAAAATGTTGGTGATATTATGATTAAAATTTTATCAGTTAGCAGATTTTTATATCTTTCACAGAAACCGAGATAAATGAGCTTAAACTTCACAATTTGGGGGCCCTTCTATTACAGATTTTAAAGTAATTCAAACAATCCTTTGCTTTCAGAGGACACTCAGCTCTCCGTCACGAATTAGACATTGACACTTGTGTGCAGAATTTCAATATAGTCATGCAAAACATTGATGTGTAAGTTGCTTATCTTTATATATCAGTTTCTGAATAATCAGAAACTCAATTCACTGATTGCAGAGTATTCATGAGTCTGATCAGCCTCTCCACTATGCCTATAGACTCGGTCTCTTCGCGTGCTTCACAGAAGCAGTTCAATGCACCGCCGGGACTCGAAAGTAAGATTAGAACGCTTTCGTAACGTATAGGTTATTAATTTTCAAAATTTTCAGATGTTTGGGTTTTGCAACAAGAGCAACAGGAGAATTCGCAAGCTCGAGAAGTCGTCCGACGTGTCGAAAGACGACTGAACGGATGGCTCGATGGTTCTGCTCCGGATAGGAAGTTGTCGCCTCGAGAAGAGGTAAAATTCAGAACGAGTACCAATACAACGTTTCTCGTTTTCAGGCTGACGTACTTATCGCAGAAGCAACATCATCTGCCAATTTGGCACAAATGTACGAAGGTTGGACAGCTTGGGTCTGAATACATTCACACAATGACACACCGACTTTTTCTTGTCGTTTTGTCTTGTCAATGTCATCTTCAATTTCATTCAGAAGGAATAACTAGCGAGAGATGATTCCGATTCATTGTTTGCTACTTCTGTTTATTTTTGAAGCGCTAGATGGCCACCGGCGTTGAAATCCAAATCAGAGAAATTGTGAGAGCCCCAATGCCACAAGGCCAATATATTCAATATGTTTCCAGAAAATTCTCAAATCGTGCTCGTAATTCGCCATTTGCCACCCTCCTCGCATCAATCCACTTCACCCATTCCGTTCTTTGCAAGAATCTGTTACGTCGATAATTGATTCCAATCACTCCCCCGGAACAAAAGAAAACAATTTAAATCGGTCTCTTCTCATTTTTAAAGTTTCCATGTTTATGCCGGTTCTGAAGTAGATTCCCAGGCGAAATTTCAATTAAAGTAGGAATTTCTCCTGAAATTCGGCTTTGGACACGGCATTACAAGAAAAAAACTTGAAATTCATCCAGTTCTAGTTTTATTTTTCTCATCCCATTTCCCCTTTTTTTCATACATGTTTCTTACCCATACCCACATGTTTTCAATTAACCCAACGGATTCATTTTTTCTCTTATTCGTTTTTATTTTTTATTACAAATCCTGACCCATTATTGATAGATTTTTATACTCGGTTTTTTTTTGGAAAGTTTCACTTCTATGTTAATAATGGGATAATAAAGGTTTTGGAATGGAACAACTGAATTTGAACAGAACAAAGACATGAATTACTGGGCAACGACAACAGAAAACAAATAAAATAGTATTATAGTTACCATATTCCCTCTAATAGAAGGTCCTCCATACTTCCACCTTGAGCCAATTCAGCATAATCCCTCTAAAGCCCAATTCCAACCGTTAACTTTGAGCTCAATTATCTCGATTCCTGTGCAAGATATCAAAAATTTATCAACTGATGAAATATTGGTAACGTTATGATAAATGCAGTTGACACATTTTTGATATCTATTATAGGAACCGAGATAATTGAGCTCTAACTAAGTAAGTCGGGTGGGTTTCTATTACAATTAGAGCAAATACAGTATACCAGAATTTTGCTGAGCATTTGGATAGGAAAAACGAGGGATCGTTATGCTTCTCAAATTGTTGTTTCAGTTGCAGAAATTAGAAAAATTTTGTATAATTTTTTATCAATTTCACAGGTATCAGTAAAAGTTCAATGCATTTTTAAAGTTGAATTCCAGATTCGGAAAATCTGATTCTCATAGTTTTGAGCTCCAACATTTCCGGTCGTTTTGATCCTCACTGTTCTTTTAATTGAATTCCGTTTTCTTTGCTTCATCTTCCTATTCAGACAAACTGCGATCACTCCAACCACCAGATTGTTGAAAGATATCATCTGGAAACAAGACTTTTTTGGAAATCAGCGATTTGTGAATTCCCTACAGTAGTGAAAGCTCCTCTGCATGCCATCAAATCGATTGAATCGGGAATAATCTTACTTCCGAAATATCTCAGAATTCCTATACCAACAATATACAGAGAAAATAATAAGAAGTGACATGATATAACAGATACTGAGAATTTGGTTGACTCGTAGACTTCTTCTAATTGGTATTTTGAAGACAGATAGTTTTTTGAATTCCTTATTTGATTATTTTTACGATGCTGGTACATACTAAACAAGAAATTGATGAGATTCAGAATTCCCATGACACAGAAATATATGAACATCTGAAAAATCCAAAATTGGGGATCGTGTCCAACAAAGTGAAGTCTCACTTTCGGTGCAACCGCTTTCGGAAAGAAAATAAATGAAATAGTCTTATCAGTAAACAGCTCATCACAGTAGATGTAGTAAATAACCAAAATATCTAATAAAATCTGTAAAAATTACCATTATGTTAGTAGTTTAAAGGTGGGCGGACAGGAGATTTTTCGTAGTTTTTTTGTAGCTAGAGTATGCATTCTAACGTGACGGTGTACAACGCTTAATGTCACTCTGCGTACAGCTGTCGTCCTCGCCTTTATGTATGCAAACGGGCGTGCGCTTTCTCTTTGCCCGCGTGGCTCAGTCGGTAGCGGCGCCGCACCCTCAATCATCGTCCTCACAAGTTCAACTCCTCGAGGGGCATCTTTGAACGGAATTTCGAGAACATTATTTTTTTCATGTCCCCCCACCTTTAATACATTCTAAATACATTAAATACAGATAAAGTTAGGGGGGGGGTCCAATTCTAATTTTAGGGGGGGGGGGGGGTCCAATTCTAATATAAGGTCCAATTCTAATTTTCTTCGTTTCATTCTTCATTGCAATCCACCTTTCGATAGAAATAGAAATGGGGAAATGAGTATAGAGAGTCATGAAATAAGAAACCGATATATTTCCAATTTTAAGATCTTTCGAAGGTATGAATAGATCGCACGGATGTTTCGAAAAGAATGGGATCATTATTTCAATTGTCTGAAATTATTTTTATGAACGAAAAGGGGATCTGTATTATGAATACTATTAAACCTGTATTAGAAGGGCCGGCCCTCCAATTGTTCCAAAGTACCTCCAAAGGACATTTCTATCACAGGGACCCTTCAATTAGAGGGTAACCCTTTTTTCCATTGATTTCGAAATTTTTCATTTAGAAAAATCGTTGAATTCTCGTTCAAATTTCATGAACATCTATCAAACGGGAATTTTCATTTATTTCAAACAACACATTTTGATGAAGGCCAGTCTATTACAGGGGCCCTTCTAATACAGGTTTTATGGTAATCTTTGTTTCAAGCTTACCGAAATAACTCCCAAATCTAACGAAAGCAGAAGAACTGAAACGAAATAAAATGCAAAGAGAAACTTTAAATTTCCATGGAAACTAGTTTTGCATAGTTTCAAAGCTATGAAATAGATCAATGGGATCATGGAGGCAACTGAAATCACCAAGTTTACATACAGAGAATATCGATACAACGAGTTATAGGTCAATTGATAAGCCTGAAGCAATCGTTTTCGGGAGACTGGAAAATGTTTTGGACTCACTGAAAAACAAATATCCGGAAGAGCAGGCATAATTTTGAACCAAAACTTTTAGATTATGAAGAATTCTAAGATTTTTGTTCTTGAAGTAGCCCCTCTCCGTTTCCTTAATAAATTATCCGGGGCATAAAATCTAGGAATTGGGTACAGAGTCCAATTTCAGTTTCCGGTAAACAAAAGTTCAGAAGGTTCAAAGTAAGGATTGAGAACCAGAGGGAATACTGTAAAATATGAATATACCAGCTTGTTCGCCGCGCATCCGGCGCATCAAGCAGTTGACTGGTGCGCCGTGGGCATGATTTAACCTATTTTTTCACTTTTTAGATTTTTTTTCCTCATTTTTTTCATTTCCAAATTTTTAAGCATATTTTTTCACCAGCAAGCTGGTGCGCCTTCCGCGCGATTCAATCTATTTTTTTCAAATGTTCGTCGCTTCGTTTCTCACTTTTTCTAAATAAAAGGGTCACGTAAATATATATGTATTTTTCAATTTTTTCAAAAGTCCACAGGCGGACACGAGAACGGACAGACGCCTCTAGCGTTTTATTAGTAAGGGAGATTCCCAACTTTTCACTTCCTATTTTACCGTTTGATTTTCCACTTTCAATTTTTTGAACCAATTTTTTCGCTTCCAATCTTATTTTCCAATTATTTTCTTTTTTGTTCACGTAACGCAATAAATTGATAAATCAATCAATATAATGTCACGTCCCCCAGCTTCTGTCCACGCTGAAAAATATTCAACGTATTGAAAAAAATTTCTCTGTGAAATCCCACTGTTTGAATTTTATTGTTGGATAATTTTCACAAGCTCTTTTCTCTGGTAAGAAGCTCTTTGCATACGCGTAATTTTTTGGTCCACTTTCTTTTTTTCTTTCGATTGGTCGATTGCGAAAAAAGTACTAGAAGGTCCTAAGGGTCGCCATGTTTTGGGGTTCATGGCTAGGTGTTTTTCACTGAACGTCCCCCTTTCAAAAGAGATTCAATCAAAGATTAAAAGGAATGAAGAAATATCAATAAAAAGCGTACGGAAGGCTTCTCACAAGGGAAAAGGAACTTTGGAAATTATCCAACAATGGTCCTCGGAGAACACGGGCGGGGGGGCCCTTTCATGTACTGAGCCTCTACGTGGCGAAAGGGATCAACAGACAGAAACGCCTGGCTAATCAGTACACTTGTTATTTTTCTTAAGTTGTAGTTTTCATAAAAACCATGTTTTTCTGTTGATTTTGATCTTTTTCAGGAGTCTGGAGTGTAAAACAGACCTGAATTGAAAACTTCGCATCCATAGAATTTTTTTTTGAAAATTTCTAGTATTTCAGCTATGTGCCGATTTCTGAAAAGTTCCCTTTTTGGGCAGCTTTTTACTGAAAACGTGAAAAAAAACCGAAGTCTTCCAGAAATCGGCTAATAGCTGGAAAACTAGGAATTTTCAAAAAATTCTGTGAATGCAACGTTTTCAATCTAGGTATGTTTCACACCCTATATGTTTTTGTATATCTTATTGACCTGTGTAATAAAAGTGAAAACCAATTCTACCGTAACCCAGTTCTGTTGAGTATACCTGTCAACCTTATCCCATGATCCATATCTCTTTTCTCCCCTCTCAATAATCAACATCATTTGTTTTCCTCTTCGTTTTTTTTTCCGCAAGCATTTTTCCGCACAGCAACTTTTCTGCCCGGTGCACTGTTTATTTTCTCTCTTTTTCTCCCATCTCACCACTCATTTCCGGTCGATTTACATTCTTTTTTTTCACCTTCTCTCTCTCCCATCAACACTTTTTTCTCTCTTATTTTTTTTTCTTCGGTAGCTTCTGGCTGCTGCCATTCCCATTTACGGTTTGCTCAGTGACCACACAACGAGAGACAAGAGAGTGTGTAAGACGAAGAGACGCAGAGAAAGCAGGAAGAGATGTTAGGAATGGAGAAAAAAAGCGAGAGTAGATTAGTTTCTGTTTCGGTATTGGCATTTCCTGTGGGCTCCATTTCCTGTATGCCGAACGGAGAGTTGCTTTGTAATTAAGATGATTTGGGTTCAATTTAAATGTTCCAAGATTCTCTATTTCATACCATAGGCCTAGTAAGAGATGGATGGCTCGTATCAGTATGTTTTTGTGGAAAGTTAACTTTACAATTTTCATGAAACAGTAATATTTTTGCACGGAATTCCTTACTAACAACATCCGAAATCTGATATTTTCTTCAAATTGGATTCTGAAAAACTGAAAGTTTCAACCAAAGTTTAGTTGAATTAGATAACTGTTTTCGTCAACAAGAATTAAAAAAAGGTTTTTAGGTGATAACGAAATAACGCATTGATGCCAAAAAGTGCCTCCAGTTTTGCCAGAAAAATGTGCTGACTCAAACGAAATTTTGAACTTTTCACGCTCTCCCACAGAACAATTCCGAACTGCAAATTAATTTTTGATCTACAGAAAAAAGTTTGGCGCGATCCCAATTGCAGGTCTAAAACCATAAATTCAGAATTTTTTATCTGATTTTGTGGAATTCCAAGATAATTCAAATGATTTTTAAAAAATTAATTAGTGGTTATAGATTCATGTATGGTCGTTTTCCGGAAGAAAAATGTTAAAAATGGTCATTTTTGAAAGTTTTTTACAGAAAAAATCTATCTCCTCTTTCAGCTTTTGACATTTCTAGTTCTATAGCTCAAAAAAACCGTAATTATTTTTTCTACATTTTCTGTAGATGAATTTTTAATTTGCCTGATAAAACTTTTTTATAATTCAAAAACCTCATG